AATCACCTGGAGTGGACGGTCTGACGGTGGAATTTTACTCCAAGTGTTGGGGTTCAGTGGGTCCTTCACTAGTGGAAGTTTACAATGAAATTCTCATAGAGGGCAGGTTGGGGGAGCGAATGACCCACGACATAATTTTAGTTCTTTTTAAGAAGGGGGACAAAGGCGGAAGTAAGAAACTGGCGCCCAATCTCCCTGTTGAATGTCTGGTACAAGATTTTGGCGAAGACATTAGCAAGAAGATTGGGGCGATACCTATCGACGTTAGTGGGAAACGACGAAGGCGCTTTTGTACGAGGGAGATAAAGACTCCATAACATTGTGACCACAATTGAGGTCCTCGAGGTGGTGCAGGCAGAGAATCTAGACACACCGATTCTCCTGATAGACTTGGAAAAGGCGTACGACAAGGTGGGATGGACATTCGTTATGACTACTTCAAGGCATATGAGATTTGGCGAAGGGTTCTGTAAATGGGTAGTAGCTTTGTACACTTTGTCCACCTCAGCGGTCATGGCTAATGGCTTCCTTTCGGGTCCCTGAAGACCGACAAGGTCATTGCAACAAGGTTGTCCTCTCGCCCCGCTCCTGTTTGTACTACAAATGGAAGTCCTGTTGGACCATATCAGGCGACATCCGTTGATCAAAGGCGTCAAGCTGAGTGACAACTCGGAATGCAAGGTCAAGGCACTAGTAGACGATATGTTCGCAGTCTGTCAGAACTCGGTGTCAGCACTAGCGGCGCTGAATGAGACCATGCAGGAGTACTCGCACCTGTCAAAATCTTCGGTGAACTGGTCCAAGTCATCGTACCTGCTACCTCGCCAATTCGAGTTGAGCATTGAATGGGGCATGAGGAGGGTGGAAGAAGGGGAGGAGTGATTCTTAGGGGTCTTGGTGAGCCTGCGGGTCGAAATGTCCTCCCAAGGATTACTTCTTCATAGTAGAATTGCTGCCAGATTAAACCTTTGGGGATTGGCCTGACACCTTTCACTGATCGGACGGGCCCTGGTCTCGAATGTGGCCATGTTCTTTATCCTATGGTTCGTATGTATGGTCAAGGAACTGGCGGAAGGAGTGTTCTCGATAGTTCACAGGTTTGTGGCTCGTCTTCTTTGGAAACCCAGATCCAAAAACGAGGAAGGCTTCATATCCAAGATCGCTTGGGAGCTCCTTACCTTCCCTCGACACAAGGAGGTCTTGGTTTGTGGGACCCTGCTAGGAAGAACAAAGCGTAGTTGCGGGCGTGGGTGTGTAAAGCGGCCATGTCAGAAGACGAGGAAGAATGGATATTGTTAGCTGAACGGATTCTGATGCAGGAATGGAGACTCAGCAGGCCGGCGGATGTCTGGATCTGTTTTTTTATGAAATCTTTCCAAAGAAGAAGACCGAAATCTCAATTTTGGAGGGCAATTTTAAAAGCCTGGAAAGACCTACCTCCAGAAATCCCTACCCCCCCCGGCACCAAGGAGGAGGTTTTGAACCAGCATCTGTTCGAAAACTCATCCATTCGTCTACCGAACGGCCAGATGTTTATGGCCGATGGTTTTGCTGCTGCCTTCGGCCTGGCCTCGATGAGAAGAGGAGTTTCCAGAATCCGGGATCTGTGGTTTACTCTGCTTGGGGGCTGGTTGCCACTAGAGGAACTCAGGGTTCACCTGGCGGGCCTCAGACGGGTGGAAGAAAACAGGTTGGCCACATAAGATGCAATCCCCCAGGAGTGGCTCAACGTTCTTGGACCGGAGGGAATCGACCCGCCAGGCACTTGGTACGCAGCTAATGGGGAGGAAGAGGGTAGTGTGGTTTGGAAGGCTAAGGAAATCTTACCTAGTGGATTCGGAAGAGTGGAGGTGTGGGAACGTGAGGGACAAAGAAACAGTCTGAGGAAAAAGGGGGAGGAAATCATCCAAATTTGGAATAACTCACCACAGGTGAGGGTTGTGGAACTGCAGCAAGCTGATTCCCATTCAAAAGCACTAACCTGGATCGGCCGGACAACACTTGGCCACCTACGAATTGACCCGCTGGCTTGGAACTGGATCAGACCAGGAACAGACAAAGCAGGCTCCACCTTGCTGAGCCTGACAGAATACAATTCGAGAACAGGATACGATCTAGCACGCAGAAACTCCAGGAAACCGGCGGAGGTGGCAGTGTCCAGATGGACCGCAGTCTTGGGAGAAGGTGCTGCTGTTTCGGAGTCCCGGTTTGAACGACTCTGGAAATCCCTACGTAACATGCCAAATGGGAAACAGGTGAGTATTCTCTGGCTTCTATCAATGCTAGTAACTCCCTCCGCAGTCTGGTTGTTGAGTAGAGGAGTGGCGGTAGAACTGAGCTGCTCACGATGCAAGGGCTCTTTGGAGTTCCCAAGGCATCTGTGGTGGGAATGTCCAGCTTCCAAACGGGTTTGGAAGTGGTGGGAGCAACATTGGAAGGAAATGGGAGGAAAACAGTTGGATTGGGACGAACGGTGGGTACTGTTGGGTTTTCTGCCGGACAGAATCAAAGGGGAACGAGGGTGGGGGTATATTGCTCGTGTGACCAGGGGTGTAATCTTTGAAGTTATCTGGGCAGACAGAAACAGAGCAAGATTCGAAAACCGGTCACTATCAGGTGTGGAAATTAAAAGCAGGATCAAGACAGGTCTCAAGCATGCAATCAGAGTGGATTGGAGGAGAAAGGCGAAAGCCTGGAAGGGAAGCAGGAATCAGAAGGCGTGGTTTCTCCAGACCTGGGCCCATGGCAACCAACTGGCAGCGGTACATTCCAGCAGAGGTCTGGTAGTTTGGAGTTGGATTCTGGATTTGACCAACAAGTAAGTAGCAATGATTGTAGAATAGAATTAACCAGGGCACTCGGTTGAAATAGGGCTGAGGTTGGCCGCTGGGAGAGTGCTGGTAGGGGTAGGACAGGACGTGGTCCACTGGTCCAAGTAAGTCCCAGAAGCAGTGTAATATAGACTGTTTCGAATTCAAGAGGATAAAAAAACATCATTTGTTGTAAGCGGGTAGCATCAGGGTAGTGTTTCACAAGTTCGCCAAAGTTGGCAAAAGCAACCTGCAATGGAAGACACTCAGAGTGTGAAAAACGGTATATTGTTGGCCGAGGGTAACATCTCACAGGAGCAGATAAAGATAGGAAATAGCTAGAGGTCACTATCTGAAGTGAAGTAACAATCTGCTGCTCGAATCAGATACCATAAGCTAAACCGGCTGACGCTGCCGGGATAACCCCGGGTAGAAATGTGAGGTCCCCGGCCTCAATTGAGTTTTCTCCTTTGAAATATGACAAACGAGAGCTTTCTTTAAAAAAATAAAAAATAAAAAATAAAAAGGGGTAACTTCGGCGCAGTCACGAAAACAGTTTGTAATTGCACTTCAGACAATCCCACGAATACAACACACCCCCACGCAAAGTAGGTCATATACATTCAACATTAGCGGCCCTTTTGCCTCAAGTGCAATTACAAACTCAATCCCTGACTGAGCCGTAGTTTTCTCAAATAAAAATCACGAAGACTCTCCACAGAGAATGCATCGGACTACCAACTGGCCTAGCTCAGTTGGCCCACCTTTGAACTGTTGAAATACAGACCAGAGTTCGAACTCCACTCGAAGCAGATGAAGCAGATCAGTGAAATAGTGCAAATTACCAATGGCCTAGCTCAGTTGGTACACCCATGAACTGTTGAAATACAGACCCAAGTTCAAAACCGCCGTGTAAAGTCTATATCGGATGCAGACCGAAGGCAGGCACCAAGTGCAGCAAGACATGCTGGACACAGAATTCAAAAGCGCCGCGCATTTGAGAATTACCTGGGGTCGGTCAGTTCAATGAGGATAAAAAAAAAAAAAAAAAAAAAAAAAAGAGAAAAAAATACTGCAAATTTGAATTACCTAGGACGGGTCAGTTCAAATGATATCTCAAGGCTGTTGCAGTGTTGCCCTTTTTTTTTCTTTTTTTTCTTAACCTTGAAAGCGCATTGGCCATGCTAATCTTCTCTGTATCGTTCCAATTTTAACGGATGTCCCGAAGGACTCGTTGCCCTTTTTTTCAACCTTTGGCAAAAGAGAATTCACCCGACGCGAAGAGATGTGAAGAGAAGTCACTGTGGTGAAAGCAATCGATGGTGGAAATAACAAAGTCAGCCAGGACCGACCAGATGCTTGACACATAGCCACGACGAGTGTGGCGATCATATGCGAAAAACGAATTAATATCTTGAAACTTCAAAGAGATAATCCTAGGCGTCAAAGCTCATAGTACTCCATAGCCTTGGCTATGGCACCTCCGTCCTCCCTCCCAACACCCAGAAGCCGAAGGTAGCAGGCATCCCAGACTACGTAGTTTCGGTCGCTGCCGAAGAAAGCAATCGTCGTTTTCCTTCAGCATCTTTGTTTTTCAACTTTTTCTGTTTCCTTTTTGCATCTGTTTGGCAAAAAAAAAAAAACAACGATTGCCATTTGTCGAAACGTCATTCCCCGGTCGGCCAGATCGGAATGTAGCTGAACTAAACGACCGCGAGATGCACGTGATTTGCCCTTAATCAGAATTCCATTCCCAGGTCCCCTTTGTCAGAATGTACCTGAACTAAAAGACAGCCAGGTGCATGTCATCCGGCGCCCATATGCACCATTGCCATCAATCAGAATTCCATTCCTCGATCGCCCCAGTCAAAACGCACCTGATCGGATAAACAGCCAGGTGCATGCCATACAACGACATGCCCCCATAGCCATAAACCGGACTGCAATTACGCCATAGCCGCGGCTCTCTCTCTCTCTCTCTCTCTCTCTCTCTCTCTCAAAAATGCACAACATAAAACTAAGCATACAAAACTTAGTAGTACAAAGGTCACTACTAAGCCCCCCTGTCGAAAAGAGGACAGAACGTCTCACGCTAAGGGGAGAGAAGGACAGAGACAGAGAGGTGTGAGTTAGACTGAAGTCAGTAGGCAGTATACAGGTCTCTTCCTGACAGTGCAGTACCTGACAGGAGATCCAAAATAGCAAATACATTATCCTCACAAGGAGAATCAAGGGTCCTTCGGGACATCCGTTAAAATTGGATTGATACAGAGAAGATTAATTACCATGGCCCCTGCACAAGAATGACACGCATAAATGGAGAAATGGTCCAAGTATAATATTATAATAATACTGATTTAAAAAAAAGGGAGGCGAGAGGAGAATGACGAGGACAAAGCGAAAGGAATCAGCGAGGAAGTAATTACACGAGAGGAGGAGAGAGAGGAGATGTGAGAAGAAGACCATACAAGAAGAAAGTAGAGGCGATAAAAGGAAGGGACTACAGATAGACACCAAACGGTAAACAAAGGCGAAAAAATGGGCACCTGGTTGTCCGCGTCCTTGTCTTGATGCAAGTGTTGAGTCGAAGTACTGTTTTTCATGGAAATTCACTGGCGTCCTAAGCTCTGCGCTGCCCTTGTCCAGTATACCTCATCCCTCCCTCCCTCTCTCTCTCTCTCTCTCTCTCTCTCTCTCTCTCTCTCTC